CCCCCCTCTCCTCCCCCCAGTCCGCCAGCTGATCAAATCCCAGCGGGTGCAAAATAAACTGGGGATCGTCTTTGAGAAAGAGAAGGACAAGACGCAGCGGAAGGACTTCGTCTTCGTCAGCGCCAGGGTGAGTTTGGATGCCCTCGATGAAGGGGAATATTTGTAGCTCAGGGTCGAATGGTGGGGGTCCCCGGTGCTCCCTGAGCTGGGTGGTTTTCTGGCAGACGTTTCACGACCCAACTAGGGAACATCCTCAGTGCTAGTCCTGCTTCTCCGTCTCTTCTTCCCCCTGTTGGAAACTCAACTCAAAGCCAACAAATCGTTGAAAACGAAGAGGATTTATTAAAAAGAAACTAGAGGCCGTTTGCAAAGCGCCGGTGGTCTTTTAGAACCTCAAGAAAGAGGTTCAAATCGTGCTGGAATGAGTAAATTGACATTTGAAATCAGAGAACAAGAAGATAAACAATTTTATGAAGTTTGGGATCTTTTTTTAATCAATGGTTAGATAATAAAACATAATAATAGAATATTCAGATTTAGCATAAAAAAAATTTTTTTTCCTTTTTTTTTCTTGATATTATTTTTATAAAACATTATCAAGATAGATTTGGTATGATCTTATGATTTATTGCAAAATAAACCAAGTAAACTATAGTTATCTCGTTAAAGTGTGAATTCACAAAATTATAGATAAATGATTTTTTTAGTGATGATATTAGGTTATACAATTATTGATTGATAATATGAGCTATTATGTAATATATTAGTGACTAGGAAATGGATGCGCAAAAAAAAGTGGTAAACCAATCGATGCACTGTTTGTAAATTTATGAAGAAGGATGATATTTTTATGTTTCATGTGGTATGTCTATGTTGTTTTGTTGTTAAAATAAAAAAAAAAATTTTTTTTTAAAAGAAAGAGGTTCAAATCCAAAGCCACACCTTTCGAACCTCAAAACATCCTTTTATAGACAGTTTCATCGCCTCGCCCAAGTTCCCTCCTTCTTTGAGGCTCATTCCCTCCCCAGTTGAGCTGCGTTGGATTTTGCCCTCAGGTGTTGCAGCTCATCCTAGGATGCTCCAGGGAGCATGGCCTCCTTCCCTTATGTTCCTCCTCCGTACCTCTTACTTTGGCTGCCCACGTCGCCTCTTTCCTTAGCGTTAAGGAACGTAGCATCCCCTCATCAGGGCCTCTTTCTAAGCTTACCATATGCTACCATTTTCCCAAAGAGATTATAACAACAATCCCACCCACCCCCGACCCCGAAAATAATAATATAAAAGGCACATACATAAGATAAAAAATATATAAAAAGGCTTAACAATGGAGCGTGTCAAATTATAAAAGCAGAACACGAATGTACAGGGAGATATATTTCATTTGATAACAGATTAATAGGATTGGAAGGCACCCCGTAAGGTCATCTAGTCCAACCCGCATTTGTGAAACCTTTAAGCATCTTATGTACCATTTTATTTTTGAATTTACTTATTTCTAACACCCTCTCCTCCCCCACCCCCGGTAAACCCCACTCTCTTCTAGCACTGAGGATGTAACCAACTCGGGTCATGAAACGTCTGCAAGAAAACAGCCAAGCCTCTGAGACCCCACGCTCCTTCTCCTCCCCTCCCTTCTGGCACTGATGGTGTTCCCTACTTGGGTCATGAAACGCCTGCCGGAAAACAAGCAGGCTCTGAAAGCACCCAGGACCCCACCAGTCCCAGTGGGGTGGAAAGCGGACCCAAGGTCTCGGGCCGGGGTCTTCAAACCTGACAGCTTTAAGCCTTGTGGACTTCAACTCCCAGAATTCCTCCTCCAATCATGTTTAGCTCGGGAATTCTGGGAGTTGAAGTCCACAGGCCTTGAAGGCCCTTGCTCTATTGAGGTTGTTGAGCAAGGCAGTCATGTGGGCATTGCATTTAACGACCGTCTTGACTTGGGCAGGCTCCATTACGGTCCTAAGTCAAGGCCCACCTGTACAGATAGTCCTCGACTTAGAACAGTTCGTTTAGTGACCATTCAGAGTTACAACGGCATTGAAAAAAATGACAGGACCATTTTTCACATTTAACAACCGCAGCAAGCCTCCCCATGGTCGCTTGGCCACTGACTTGTATTTATGACGGGGGTCACAACGGGATCCCTTTTGGCGACCTTCTGACGAGCCAAAGTCAAGGGGGAAGCCGGATTCGCTTAACGACCGTGATTCTATCGGCACAACTGCATTGATTCACTTAACAACGGTGGCAAAAGCTTTTATCAAATGGGGGAAAAAACCTCACTTAGCAACCGTGTTATACTAACTTTAACAAGTGCAGCGGTCCACTGAACAACTGGGGCAAGCTGAAAAAAATCAAAAATGGTTACAGGAGATTACCAATGAAGAAATAGAATTAGAACCGAAATTATTTTTTTATTGGGGATATTCAGAAAGAAATATGGGAGGAATATAAAATATGTAATATTGCACATTTTAACTGCAGCCAGGATTGCCTATGTCCAAGGTTGGAAACACACATGTATACACCAGAGGAACCGATCGTTCCAAAAATAATGAGCTCTGCCGTGATGCACAAATTAACTTTGAGTTTACAAGACAAAGAGGAATCCGATTATTACAAGATGTGGGGAAAAATGGTATGATTGAATTGAGCAAAGACACATCCGTGGATAGATAAGTGGATTGTAAATAAATAGGGATAAGCACTAGATAAGGTCATGATTTATATCCGCGCAAATTCTATATATTTGTAAATAACGCACAAAACATTAGTATAAGGTGAACGTCACAAACCGTTGATCTTTATAAGATTGATATGTTTTTGTTTCTTTTTAAAACGATAAAAGATTAATAAAGTTTATTTTTTTTAAAAAAAAAGAACAACCGGGGCAAAACCCCGTTTAACCCCCGCCTCACTTTAGCGGCAGAAATTTTGGGCTCGATCTTGGTCGTAAGTCGAGGACCACCTGCATTTTTAAAATCTTTTAATGTCCTCCTTTCTAATGCCCGAAGGGTGAAGGGAGGAGGGGTGGGATGCCTTTTGGGGGGGTGTCCAGTTGTGACACCCGAAGTGGGGAGCTCTCGGGTGGGCTTGGCCTCCCCCCAACCCCCTGGGGCTTTCTTGAGTATCCGTGTCCCCCCCCCCCCAGAAACGAGAGGCCTTCTGCCAACTACTGCAGCTGATGAAGAACCGGCACTCCAGCCAGGACGAGCCGGACATGATCTCGGTCTTCATTGGCACCTGGAACATGGGTGAGCCCGTGTGTGTGTGTGTGTGTGTGTGTGTGTGTGTGTGTGCCTTCTGGAACCTTCTGGAAGATGTCTGGGGAGCTGTCTGGGCGGGAGGCCTGAGCCGGAACCCCTTCAGTGTCATCCCCCCCAGGAAAAGGAAGCCCCTTCGCCAAAGGCGGGGGGGGGGGGGCTCTTCAAACAGGGGCCCCTGGGGAGCTGGAGGGATTTTTTGGGGGGAAGGCTTAGCCATAGAAATCCTAGGCTGGATCTTTTCTCCCGTTTTCTTTCTTTCTTTCTTTCTTTCTTTCTTTCTTTCTTTCTTTCTTTCTTTCTTTC